ATGCTGGTTGTTTGTTTGAGGGTGATTCCATTGATGGTGATGTCCAATTGCCGTGGTCTTCTGCAAAAATGCATTTTGCTTACTTTTTCCATATTAAAACTTAGACTCAGATTTGCGCAGTTGGAGCTAAAATGGTTTAGTTCCGCTGCTAGTAAGTTCCTTGCTTGGAGGTATGTTTTGGCGTAGCATAATATAAAAAATCATCTGCGAATTGGTACACTATGGCACAGTCCGATGAAGTTTTGTGTAATTGAGCAGTATATAAATTGAAAAGGATTGGGCTAAGTCCACTGCCCTGTGGCAATCCATTTTTAACAATTATTGAGTTTTTTCCTAGTTCCAGTTTCCTGTATTTCATTCCATCCACTATACATTTTATTATATGAGTGTTTAGACCATTTCCAAATAGAATTCGGCCTAGCTTGGAAATACCTGTATTATGGAACGCTTTTTCGACGTCGACACATGCTCCTACCACATGGTTTCCGGAATTTTTTAAGATTTGTATTGAGTTTGTGACATCGTTGATGCAGGTCGTCGTGCTTCTTCCGGGTCTGAAAGCGTAAGACCGAGGTGGTAAGATTTTGTTTGTTTCAATAAACTGTAGTATTTTGTCTTTGATAGCGCTCTCAATGATTTTTTGAGAGGTGGACATGAGTGCAATAGGTCTATAATTTTGTACCAATGCCGGGTACCCTTTTGGGGATGGGCGTGATTTTGATCCGTCTCCATTCTTCGGGGAAGACACCTTCTAGGCTCGCTATCATACCGTAAGTAATCCCGTCGGGACCTGCGGCGGACGAGGGATTTCTACTGTTGAGAAACTGCTGTAAAATTTCAGGATCGAGAGATGGACGTTCACTAAGGATGTTGCTAAAAATGATTTGAGATGTGCCGGTGTTTGATGGTTGTTGATGATAAATAAAGTCCAGGTATTCTTTCTTTTGATCTTCACTCCATATGTTGTTTATAGGTTTTTCTTTACGGTATTTCTTGACATTAATCAGCATATTCCACATTTCCTTGGGGGTGTTGGGGTTATTGAGGTTGCATTGAAACTGTTTGAATTGTTTCCTCTTTTTCTTTTCAATTTTTTGTATAATTTTTTTTCTGCCGCACCAAGGGCCAAACAGTCTTCCCACGATTTGGTTCTTTGGTATTTGTTTCTTGCTCTCATTCTGATTTGATATAGATTTTTAATTTCGTCATCCCACCAAGCTTTTGGGGTGTGTTTGTTGTGTGGATCAATGATGGTTGTGTTTTTTTTAATTATTTCGCCAATTCTGGTAGTGAAGTCGTTGAGACTGTTTCCCACTTTCATGCTGCTTATGCTTGTTGAAATGGATTTTGTTACGGTTTCTTGGTTGATTTGCATTATTAAAAATTTCAATGAAGATAGGGTAATGGTTGCTGTTTGTTAGCTTCGCTGGATGCGTTTTCCAGGAGACGTTATAATTTGAAGTGTTGATAAAAGTGATGTCGATAGCCGAGTGGGTGTTATTTCACGAGAAAGTTGGCTCGCCTTTATTGAGACATATGAAATCATGGTCATTTGCGAAGTTGGATAAAAAGTCGCCTTGTGCGTCCGTCATGGTATTTCCCCACAAAACGGATTTTGCATTAAAATCGCCGGCTATTAGGGTGATTCCCTTAAGTGTGGTTGCGGTATTGAAAATTTCCTTAATGATATCTTTAAACTCGTTCCTTCTTGAATTGGGTGGAATATACACTGCAATGATATTTAAATTTTTCTGTAGATTGTGAGTGGTGATACCCATTATTTCGTAACTTGTGTTAAAGCTGATGATGCTATAAGCAATATTTCTTTTTATGGATATACCCACACCTCCGTAGCCATCTGCTCTGCCTTTGCTTATAAAGTTGTAGTCTTGAAAACTGGTGTTTGAATTGTCTTTGACCCATGTTTCAGATAGAATTGCGATGTCAACTTTTTCTTCGTGAAGAAAGAGTTCCAGAAGGTTTTTGTTTTCGAGTCTATGAATACTTTGAATGTTGTATTGCAGGATTTTCATGTTGTTTTGTGTTAATGGATGGATTAAGGATTGTTTTCAAAATATTGTTTGGCTGTGGTCCGGGTTCTGGGTGCGTGCTTCCAATTCATATGCATCAATGTCGACGATTCTTCCGTCGATTTGTTTTTTGAGGTTTGCTAAATAACGAATATGTTCGTTTGGTAGATTTTTATTTTCATTTAAGTTAATAGTTTGAAGGTCTGTTGCAATTTTGGCTAGGAAACCTTGCAGTTCTCTAAATTTCTCTAGGCTTTTTAGGGCCGATCCGTTTTCTGAGTTGTATGTTTCGCCTTTTTGGAGTACTTTTTGGTGTTCCCGCATGGTCTTGGCTGCGTTTTCTGCTTCTCTCTGTCTATTTTTGTTGATTTTGACTACTTGCGAATAAGAGCTCATAGAGTGTATTAGTCTGGCGGATTCTTTGGCGTTGTTGATTGTGTTATTGCTGTTTACTTGGGGTCTGCGATGAGATCTTTCCAATGTTGGGAACTCGGCTGGTGCGTCGTCATCGAGCAAGTCAAACCGATTTGCGAATGCCGGTGCAAATTTCCTTCGGGCTTCTGTGTGTGAGATGTTTTCTATAACCACGACTTTTTTAATTTGGTATGCTCGTATTCTTGCGGGACACTCTTTGCTGGTTGGTGGGTGCTCCCCTTTGCAATTTGTGCATAAGATTTTGTTCGCGCAAGCGACATCTTTTTGATGTATTGAATAACATTTGCGACAAGCTAATTCCTTCTTTTTGCAATGGTCTGCGAAGTGGTTGAAACCAAAGCATTTGTAACATTGAGAAAAGGGGATAAAATGTTTGACCTCGCGTGTAGTATAGTCAAACAATCTGACTGCCTTGGGCAGGTCTGCACCTTTAAAAAGGATTTTGATTCTGGGAGTTGGCACTCTTTCACCCTTGTCCATCCTAGTTAGTCTAGTGATGCCAAGAATAGGAACATCTGATTTAATTGAGTCTTCCAGCTCTTCTAAGGGAATATCTATTGGTACTCCGAATATTATGCCTGCTTTCGATACGAAATGCGAGAAATTTTTGGGACAATACCCTTTGTTGATTAAGTCTTTGTTTTTGACCAGCAGGTTGGCAGCTGAACCGCTTCTGCATACCACCTTAGCTCTTCCGAATCCAATTTTGAAGGTGTCTAAGATTCCTGGGATTTTCAGGTTCTTGAGGGTTTGCGATAGTGCTATTGAATTTACTTGAATAGCCTTACCTTCTTCGTTTAATCTGTCAATGTAGACGATAAATGGACCCCGGTGACCAGTGTCATAAAAATATTCTTGATTGTCAGTCTTGGTTTTGGCACTTGTGGTGTCTATGTTGTATGTTTGTGATAGGTTATGTGACACTTGCGATGTCATGGTGAGATCAATATTATTTAAATTGTCACTTAAAATATTTGGACTTGTGTCGGAACGACTTATTTTAGTGTTATTTTGACGCGTGTTGCTACGACTTCTATCACGTCTTTTTTGCAATAGCCTGGTTTCAGGCGGAGCTGGTGGGGGGGGCTGTTAATTCTCCCCTCCATGTTTGATAATATTGAAACTTATTGAATATATGTTGTAATTGTTTGATCACACAGCAAAAAATAAAAAGAAAAATTCACAAAACTCAAGATTATTCTCGAGAAATAACTGTTTATTAACCATATGTTTATTAACGTTGCACCAGCAGCAGAGCACACGAACAAAAAGAAAAGGGAATTCTGGGTAACACCAAAAATGATTTTTGTTTAGTAGGAAATTATTTTTCATTTATGCATCAAAAATGCTGGAAAGTTCACAAAGTTTTTTCATTAATGTTCACAAAAAAATTTTTTAGTAGAGTTTTGAGTAATTTATTTTGATTAATAGGTTTATTTTCTGTTGTTTTTTTCCAATTGATATTTTCTTTAGCTTGGTTTTTTCCGCTCGGGTAACTCGAACTTTACTCAACGACGCTTACAAAGAGAATGTGCAGAGTCATGTATTTGCAAGTTAAATTTGAATTTCAATATTCAAAAGAATGTCAGTTTGTTATTAGGTGTGTCTGGTTACTTTTCCAGTAACATTTATTCAGTAAGTTCTAGTTCAGAGAGTAAGCCTTTCATACTCTCTTTTGCGATAATACTGAAAAAAGTAAACAGACAACATTTAGTAAGATTTAGCAAATAAACAGCTGATTCAAGAAAACATTTGATTTGCGCCAAAATAAATAACAAACAAAGGACGAACACAATTATTTGTATTACATTTAATACTAAAAATAAAATGAATAATAATAACAGAAAAATTGATCTGGTATGTTCCCCGGGAACATTTAAGCTCCCTGCATCAATACATTGCCCTCTATCTGGAACTTGCCTAAAAAGATATAAGGAATTAGTTTCTAATTTAATGAAACTTTGCATTACTTATGAATTGTCTTCCATTTTCTGTAATTAACTTCAAATTGAACATTGCAAATTAAAAAAAATGTTTTAAATAATTTTTGTGTTTGGTCAGAAAACAGCTGATCAGAAAATGGCTGAGTTGCAAAATCTTACTGAATAAAATTCTTTCAGTAAACTCCAGCAACTTTGTTGTTGTTCAACTGTCAAACTTGCTCTCTCACTTGACTCTCTTTTACTGGATTTTTGTGTAAACAGACAACATTTAGTAACATTTGGTAACAATTGTTACTAAATATCGAGTAAACAGACAGAGCTATTATTAAAAATGCGTTTCGTACCAGAACCTGCAAGAATCTACTATTTTGCAACTTTTTACTGAAAAATCTTTCCGGAACCCACAAAACTAGCAAACTTTCAAACATATGTAAGGTAACATGAAACAAAATTGCGTTCTCTTGTACAATTCTTGAGAAATTCTGTCAAGTAAAAATGTTAACCAGAAATGCCAACTTCTGGCTGTTGATTTGGTTTTGAAATATTGTCCTTTACTTTGACATTTTTACTTCTTTTCCATTTTTTAACTTACCTCATTCCATCCATATTTATTTCTGGCTTGAACAATGGCTTCATATACAGCGTTGTGTTCCAGATTCTTTAAAACGTATGACATAATGTAATGTGTGCTGTCCGTTCTGACAGCTGTAGGCTTAATATGAAATTCATGCCATTTTCCAGGGTGTTGATAGGTTTCATTCATCTAGAGAAGAGGTTTTCTTATAAAAAAATTTAATGGGTATTTAGACATTAATATTTACCAAAAGTCGTCTATATAAAAGCTTGATTTCTTCAAGAGTTGGAATCGACTCAATAGTCCATGTTAGGTTATAATGATCTAACGATCCACTTAATGCGGGAGAAATGAAATCAGCGGGTCCAGGTCTTCCTGAAACTTCAATATATTTTTTGGTCCTTCCTAGTGCATTGTCCGCTACACAACTGTAGTTTCCAAAATCAGATGACTGGAAATTTCGTATGATTAAACTGTAACGGTCGTCTCGTGAGTACATTGACCGCCTGTCAGTAGCGTCTAGCAAGAAAGAATTTTGATACCAAAGCATCTGCAAAATATTGAATAAAATATACAGTTATGGACCAAAAAAGTTATTATAAAATTTAACATTAACAAACCTCGGAATTTACATCTCCGTGAACAACACAGACTAATTCTATGTCGTAGCCTTCGGCAGCATGAACCCAAGACTTTTCGACAGTGATTTCTGGGGGAGCTATGAAACGAAAATATATTAATCATTGTATAACGTCACATTTAATATCATCCTTACATAAAATTGTCAATTGAATATCCATTGAAACCCTCTCTTTAACTCCATTATCGGCAGAACATTGATAAATTCCAGCATGATGCCTATCAACATTTTCCAATATTAGTGTCGAACTGTCCGATAAATGTGTTGGGCCAGAAAACATATCCTTCTTAAACCAATATATCGTTGGAACAGGGTTTCCTGATGCTTTACATTCTAATGTTACTGTGCTACCTTTTCTTGCAGTTACTTGTCCATTATGTGGGAGAGCACGTAGTGTTGGTGGAACTAAAAATATAATATTTAACAATTCTTTAAGTGTTATAATTTGCTATTCATTTAATAATATATTTTCACGATGTAGAATCATTGTTGAATGATAAGTATGACTTATGAATGCTCATTCAAATAACCAAACTGCAATCGGAATATGGCATGCATTTTCATACTTTTAGCTCGTGATAAAAGGCTTTGGCGAGTATATCAATACGTAATACACGAATCCCACAAAAACGTCAACCACATAGTTGAAGAGTCGATTTGTAAAGAGAGATATGAAATTATATAGGAATTATTCTTTGCAATCCGGACAACATATTTATATCTATTATTTGTAGGATAGCCGTAATGTTTCTTTCTGTTGTCTTATTTTCGCATTGTGAGTAACTTGGCAATTATTTATTAGTTTTATAGTGCCATTTGTGTTAAGTGTGAACGCTGTTAGCTAAAACAATATCAATAGCTAATAATATATTCTAATCTCTTACAAAAAGTATAAGTATATATATAAATCTACATATATCAACGCGATCCCGTGATAAGTGCAGTTAAATAGTGTATGAAAATATGTAACGCGTGCGGTACAAAATTCATATATGCTTTAATACAGGAATTTTTTCGGATAATGATGTTATGTTTGGATCTTGAGATGGCAAACCAAAATAAAACAAATTTTGTTTTCTATCTCTATCGAAGAATTTTTATCCGTCACGCACATGTTACACTTTTCTTCAATAAGTAAACAATTATATAGTCATTGTTTTTAAACAAATATACTATTTACGAGGTTCAAATAAAATCACTGTGTGGAATTTTCACAGCATTTGTTTTCGCCTTACTAACAAATCCACGGTAAATATATATTCCATACATTTTTTTCCATTTTTCATAAAAAATGGATTTCATTTGACCTTCTACATATAGATCTAATTTTATCAAAACAGCATGGTTATTATTTCCGATGTAAATATTTGTGGTATTCGTGACATAATTGTGGCTTTTAGAGTGACCACACAAAAACAAGGTTTTTGTTCCCATTGGCCCCCTAAATATTAACCGTTCATAACCAAAAACAATAGGGGTCTTATTTAGACAGAACCGGATTTACATGCAAACATTTGTTGACGATTCGTCCATAACTGTATATTGATATACTAAATCAATATTTCGCGGCGTTACAAAATCTTGGGGCCACACAAAGCTTTAATACCTTCACAATATAGTCCTGTAGGGTATACAAATTAGTATATTTAAAACATTCTGTTTTGAATTTTATTTTTTAGTACATATGTGTAATCGTGCGTTACGAGTGTAACATGTGCGTGACGGTGTTCAAAGCTAAAAAAATATATGTTTGAAGATTTTTTCTCAAAAAAATTAAACGTCAATATAACCTTAAATAGCATCTTATATATTTCTACCTTAAGATAATTCGCAGAAATTTCATATGGAAACTAATATCAAATGTACAAAGGGAAAATTTTGTAGCGCGTGCGTACGCTACATTTTGAAAGAAACTATTATATTTCGCACGCTGTAACTGAGCATGACTTCGAATTCGTAATAGTATTTCCGGGAGTTCTTTGATATGAAATGTCTTAATTTCAGATAGGGTAATAAAATATATTCTCCAGATATGGGCAATATGGCCAATATGTTAACATAGCTGAAGATGAAGTTCACCCCTTTGTAAGTCAGAAATTATTAAAGTATGTGAAACGAATTGAAAAGTTTTGTATATTTTATTTTCTTGATATTGACCTCTAAAGTTTTTTGTTTGAAAGCTGTGTTTACTTTAATAGGTAAACATTAAAGGCAATCCAGTGTTTATGGTTATTCTCGATTTGTGACTAACCCATGCATTTCACTGAATCATTTTTCAAAAATTGTCTGCATCTAACTTTAAATGATGATGCACAATCAGGAATTTCCAAAAATCAAGTATAGGATTATTGTATAATTTTTTTCGAACGTTCCCGTGCCACTCACACCCGCCCCTGCCTACCGAGGGGGCCACCTCCCCTGGAAAGAACGTACACCCCATAGTCCGGATTATGGAGGGTTAGTAGTGAGGGAAATTACTGGCTGCAGAATTAACATCAGCCAGTCTTATATAAATAAACACAATAGTTTTGACAGACATGCAAACAAAAACATTACATACACTACTGTCTGGCAACTAAACCACAATTATAGACGAATAATAGAATTTTTTTATTACATGAATGGGGTCAGAAAATGATACTCTGTTATATAAATTATTATAAATTTCACATAAAGCTCGAAGTGGATTAGTTAGTTCATAATTAAGAGGTAAATAATTACGTGTTCTACGGGAGGGAATATTAAATTTTATTTCACCGGTTAAAAAGTTAGAATCAATTTTATTATAAATATTGCTCTAAGCATTAATCGTCTTCTTTTAAGAATTGGAAGATCAATTAGTATCAGACGATTAACGTACGGCGGAAGTGCTTCAAGTGGGTTCCAAGGTAGTCCCCTAAGAGCACATAAAAGAAACTGGGTTTGAACCGATTCTGTTTTATTAGAATAATTGTTATAAAATGGGCTCCAAAGTACACAGCCGTATTCCAATGTGGGACGAACAAGGCTAATGAATAGACGTTTAGTTATATACGGATCATCAAATTCCTTTCACCATCACTTTATAAAACCAAGCATTATTAACACATGATTCAATATGTAAATGAAATGATACCAAGATCTGTAAACGAGTCTACATAGTCAAGTTTATGAGAACATATAAAGTAATCAATAGGTATGGGACTGGTCTTAGAGAGAGTTATTTTTTGCACTTCTTAAGGTTCAGCGACATACCATTAGCTGTACACCAGTCTACGAATGAGTGTAGGTCATGTTGCAAATTTAGTGAGGAGTTACGTGCATTTAGACTACAAAAAAGTTTTACATCATCTGCAAACATTAAAATATTAGAAAACCGGACTGGAAACTATCATTTAAATAAAAGACTAAGAGTAATGGGCCCAAATGGCTACCCTGATAACCACCAGATGACTCACTGATGTCATCTGAGAGAAATTGATTGAAATGTACTTTTTGAGTACGATCTTGTAAATAAGAGGAAATCCAGTGAAGGAGGATTGTCGAGAAACCCATAATATCAAGCTTATAAATTTACTAACTGTGAACAACAGTATCGAACGCTTTACTGAAACCTGTATAAATTATATCAGTTTGTAGTTTATTGATAAACCTATTGTGAACGTGACACATAAGCCCCATTAGGTTAATTAATGTAGACCTCCCTCTTAAAAAGCCATGTTGGAGAGGAGATACTATAGATGAGACAAAGTAAGAAATTCTTCGAGAAACCAAAATTCAAATAACTTTGGAATCGCACTCAATTTGGCAATGCCTCTATAATTTTAAATAGTTCACCGACTACCAGTTTTGTGTAAAGTGACGAGGAAAATACCAGTGAAGAGGAAAATACCCCACGAGATAAGGAATAGTTAAATAAATCTGTTAGTGGTAAGTACAATTCATAAGCACAAGACTTTAGTATAGATGATGGGACACAATCTGGATCAGCAAAATTAGAGGTTTTTAGTGATTTCAGGGCAGTTAATACCTCATCCTCCGAAAGTAAAAATGTTGAAAATGGTTTATCTTATCCATATGGTAGTTATAATTAAAATTAAACGGAGGGTTTGAATAATTGTTCTGGAAATTTTTGGCAAACATATTTGCAATATCAGAATTATTATATGATCTTATACTACCAAGTTTCATATAGCTGGAAAATGCCCGAACTTTACGTTTAGTATTAAAGAATTTAAAAAATCTTTCGGATTAGTCTGTAATCTACATTTAATTTTTACTAGATATTCTGAATAACACTCCGAATGATCAATAAATGGTTTAGAAATTCAATATACCTAAAACTGAGTCCAACCTAAATATAGCGAGTTATATACTGATTTTTTTATTACGTTCGTTCCCACGCCTCAATTTCCCACCCCTGCCGACCGAGGGGGCGACCTCCCCTTTCGTAGGGATCGCGTACACACCATAATCCAGCTACAGAAATCTACTTCAACAGGCAGTTTGTTATTAAGTTGTATTATTAATTTAAAAATATAATTATATTAGATTTTATTAGTTCTATATTTATGCAAAAGTCTACGTTAGAATACACATAATTGAAATCAATACACATTTTACTAAGTGGATCTCCCACAGAAAAATTTGTGCGATGAAAATCTACGTATAATGGTTGATAACATCTACTTAATCGAAAAGGAACATATATTTTAATGGATGAAATTAGGAAGTCTGAGGGTATATTGCCGTTTAGTATTTTAATTACCATCATAGTGTTCAACATAATACGTCTACTTTTTAATGTAGGCAATCGAATTAATTTTAACCTGCTAGAGTAAGAAGGCAACACAAAGTCACTATTCCAATGTAAACCTCTCAGTGCAAAAATTAGAAATTGTTTCTGCACTGATTCAATTTTATCGGAATATATTGTATATTGGGGATCCCATACAACAGAGCCATATTCTAATATGGGTCGCACAAGAGATGTAAAAAGTTGTTTTGTAATGTAGGGATCAGAGAATTATTTAGCCCATCGTTTTATAAATCCTAAGACACCGTGGGCTTTGTTTACCATAGAAATGACATGATTATTAAAATTTAATTTTGGATCCATTAAAATACCAAAATCAACAAATGAATCTACAATTGATAAAACAGTACCATTAATATTGTATTGCCTTATTAAAGTAGAAGATCTGGAAAAACACATGTGCTTACATTTGTTTAGGTTTAAATCCATACAGTTTAATTCGCACCATTGAAAAAGGCTATTTTAATCATTTTGAAGAAAATCAGCTTGCTTCATGGAATTATGGGTGATAAACAACTTGACATCGTCAATGGAATGGATTATTGCATTTGGTAAATCATTTATAAATAGAAGAAAGAGGAGTGGACCTAAATGACTTCCTTGGGGAACA